AAACTGCAAGGACTCGTCCAAGCAGTCACTGCAGGGTCAGTAATGACTGAGCGCAGACAAACAAAAAAACAAAAAACAAAATGTGCAAGTGTAAGAATTCATGCTGGTTTGAAGCCAAAGGGTAGTCACACCAAATATTGATTTGATTTAGATTTCTCTTCTGTTAGCTCACTTTGCATTTTGTAAATTGATAAAGATAAACAATACAACATATAGTTTTGAAAGCATTCTTACTTTATAGCATTTTTTCACACCTGCCTAAAACTTTTGCACAGTACTGTATTTTGTTGCTGGTTTGAAGCCAAAGGGTAGTCACACCAAATATTGATTTGATTTAGATTTCTCTTCTGTTAGCTCACTTTGCATTTTGTAAATTGATAAAGATAAACAATACAACATATAGTTTTGAAAGCATTCTTACTTTATAGCATTTTTTCACACCTGCCTAAAACTTTTGCACAGTACTGTATTTTGTTTTTAACAAGCTATTGGAATGGCAACTAGACCTATGTGTTCAACAGCTGGCTCAATTTCAACCATGCCACTATCTGCCAAGCCAGATAAGTTGGCCAAGAACTTCTTCTGCTACTTTACTAAAAGAGATCCTGGCTCAGGTACAACTCTTGAAGTTGATCCAACAAGATCTGGCAGAGCTTAAATGTGATTTAAAATTGATTGAAGAAAAAATGACTCACTATCAGGATTGTTTAAATGCCCACAAGGCTGTAACTCAAGCCAGTCATAATATTTTGGATGAACAAATTACTTATCTGGAGTCACAATTGCGGAGGAAAAGATTGGAATTGAAAACTCTCCAAGTCAATCAAACCTGGCCAAATTTATGGAAGGTTTTTTCAGAAAGCTCCTTTCTTTGGGAATGGACTTTCCAGTTGAGATTGACCATGTGCTTAAAATTCCTTTAATGAGAAGGAAGACTGGAACTAGTTCCAATATTATTATTGTGCAATTGCTCCGTGTTACCACAAGAGATGAGATTTTACGTATATTTTGCCAGGTATCAGTAAAGTCTCCTTTGAAGTGGGTGTCTAGTCAAAGCAAGATATCAATTTATCCTGATTTTACTGAAGAGGTTTCAGAAAAGAGAGAGATGTTTATAAAAGCTTGAAGTCTTGCCAGATCAGCTATAATATTTCATGGATTTTTCAGCTACAACTGCGTTAATCATGAAGATCAGATTCACAAATTTGATAATCCCTTGAATGCTGAGGCCTTTATCCTATGTTTAAAATCTGCAGGCAGACAAGCTTGATTGTGTTTCATTCTATGGAATCTGCTGCAGGAGAAGTCAGAGTTTGCCTACAGTAAAAGCCTTAGTTTAGAAGTCTACATGCCAGTATTTTTTTCCCCCCCTGTACTTCTATTTGTGCTTGTTTTGGTTATTTCAAGATAGATCTGGGCATGCTGCCAACTTTGTCACTTATTTTTTACACACAATACTTTTTTTTTCCCTTCAGTTAGTAATGTTTGAAACTTTCATAATTTTCAGTATAAGAAGAGAGATGAAATCACTGTGTCACCCCCTTTGAGAAATCATCAACTTCTGTGATTTTTTTTCTTCCTTCTTTACATATTTTTTTCTTTTTTAAAATTCCATTTAATCTTTTTATAATGTTGCTTGATTTTTTATTTTTATGTACATAATCATTTTTTTCTCCTTTAAGTATAGATTCAAAATATACATAAAAGAATGGTATTTGAAGGTTAAATTGAGTCTTTTTGGAGGTTCTACATCTGTGAACAAT